TAATAAATATTTGTTGACTTACATAATGCTCAGCCAGAAACTGTTGCTTTTGTCTTAAAATTGTAGTACATTTGTCATATGAAGTATTGGCCAAGAACTTTGAGTTCTTCCTGCAGATTTGCTTCCAACCAGTTCTCTGTAAATGCAGGGGAGCAAGTTACACTTTCCTCTCCTGGCTGTAGGAATAATGTGAATGATAGTCAAGTCACTTAACCAGATATTCTGATTTTATTTTGCACTGAGAGGTAGCCCCTGCCTTTTCCTCTGAAATGTTCCTGCTTAATGCAGTATCAGATCCTCTTGTCCCCCCATGTGGACCCTCAGTTTTGTGGCCTCCATCCCACAGCATGGTTTCTGTGCCCCGGCAGGACTGAACTTTCCACTGCCTAAATTGAAAAATGTATCCGTTGTGTATGGTTTTGAAAAAGAAACAGCCCCAAGTATGCCAGTCAAGAAGCATTTATTAAGCCCTTACCATATGCGAGACACAATAGTGAGGTCGTGGATTTTCTTCCATTAGAGAGCCATATGGTCAGATCTAACCAGGAGTTGATGCTACATGGACAACTGAACTTCATAGTTTCCGAGCCCCTTTCGGCTCCCTTTGTTTTAAAAGGGGGGGGGGGGAGTATCAGAGGTAAGTTCAGGATTTCAAAGAGCATTCCTAAAATGGCTAACATGGGGATTTAGAACTGCTTCTGGGACATTGTCATCTTTAAAACTATAATAGTGATAAAGTTTTATGCCTCCAAGGAAACAGAGCTATAAAGATTTTTCGCTTACTTCATAAACCACTGAGAAGAGCAAAGCACAATTACTTCCCATGATAATGAAGAACAAAATGTGTTTTAGCCAGAGAATTACTAAGTCTAAGCTTGGAACTCTTTTTTTGCCCCATGTGAAAGAATTAAAATTTCTGTGAAGACTCAGAAGCCTTTATCTGATGAATACTCTGATAGCAAAAGCTCATTCAAGTGTCCTGACCTTGAGAGTGGGGGCCATGTTTTCCACTTGCTTTGACAGGGCCTAGAATAGTGCCATGTGCGGACAGTTACTTCAAAACAAGCGGTTTTGTGAACTCTATAGACCTCATAAAGCTCTTGGTCAGGCGTTTGCCAAATCACCGGGGCCCAGTGACTTGAACTCATCACCTTAGCTCACGTTAACTCATCAGAGTTCCTTTTGTTCCATTCTTTATAGTCTTAGGATTATTGATAACAAATACAGAAACACAATAGGAATTGAGTAGTTCTGCTTTCTTTCTGACATCGTTTACCCTTATCTCTTATACTCAGACATCAGTCCTGCCGCTTTCTTTTTCTTCCCAAGTTGTGCATAGCTTCAAAATCCTTTCCTGTCATACAAAGCAAAGTTGGAAAGCTTTGTGTTAACACTGGGTTTGGGCAGCCTGAAGCTAATGTTACTGGGACTTCACCACTATTTTGTATTCCTACTATAATTGTGACCTCTGATTTCATATTTTGAACATGACCTCTATTAATAAGAGAGGCAGCTAGGTGATTTTTGATTCTTGAAGATAGAGTTAGAGTACTGGTCCCCTGGAGTCATGAAGGCCTGAGTTCAAATACTAGTTGTGTGACCCTGGCAAGTCATTTAACCCATTTGCCTCAGTTTCCCTCATCTGTGAAATGGCAATAATAATTGCACTTACCTACCATAGTTGTTGTGAGGATCAAATGAAATATTAATTGTAAAGCATGTGGTACAGCATATGGTACATAGTAAGCACTATATAAATGCTAGCTATTATTATCATTATTATTATCAGGCCCTTTTAAAATCGAAGCTCAATGCAGAGCTCCCCATTCCATCACTGAAATTATTTAAGGTTGTATTGTCATTGTACAAGGTGCTAAACAAAAATCCTAGGGAATGAGCAAAGATACTAATTGAGACAATTAATAGCTAAGGCAAAGTTACAGATTACAAAATAAATCCTCAAAAATCAATAGCATTTCTATATAATAATAAGACACAAGAAGGAATAATAGAAAGTAATAGAAATAATAGAAAATTCCAAATAACTAAAAAATGCACAAAATAACCAGGGACTGACTTACCAAAGTCCATAGAAGACTTGAATAGATTCAATTACAGTGTTCCTAAAAGAAATAAAGAAAAACTTCAAAAGTTGGAGAAATATTCAATGCCCAGGGAGAAGCTGTGCTAATATAATAAAAATAATGATGCTATCAAAATACATTTACACCTTTAATGTTATACCAATAAAATCACCAAAGGACTTTATAGAACTAAATAAAATAATAAAATTCGTTGGGAAAAATGAAAGATCTAGAATATCAAGGGAAATGATGAAAAGAAGTAGAGGTGCAGGGAGAATATCACTTCCAAACTTCAAACTATATTATAAAATGGTAGTTATCAAAACCTTCTGGTATTAGATGAAAAAGATAAATCAGTAGAAGAGACTAGACAAGGAAGAATCAGAAACAATAGAAGAAAACAACCCAGGGTTTGTTAACGTGGGAAATATAAATTACCTAGGGGAAAAAACTGCTAGGAAAACTGGAAAGCAGTGTGGCAGAAATTAGGCTTAAAACTAGCACCTTATGTCATATTCCACAGTAAAACTGATATGTAGCCTTAATATTAAAGATAATAACTATTTTTAAATGGAGAAGAAGCATCATATATCTCTCACTGCTCTGAGTAGAAGATATATTCTTACCTAAACAAGATAGAGGCAATTACAAAAGATAAAATAAATAGCTTTGATTACTTGAAAGTGAAAAGCTGCTATACAGACAAAATTAATGAACCTAGGATAAGAAGAGAGGTGGTTGAATAGGAAAAAAAAATCTCAAGATTTCTTTGATAAGGATTTTCTATCCAAGACATATAACGATAAATGTTTTAAGACTAATAGTCATTCCCCCATGAATAAATGGTCAAAGGATATGAACAGTCAGTCAGTCAATAAACGTTGATTAAGCACCTGCTGTGTGCCAGGCACTGTGCTAAATGCTATAATGATTAAACAGTTCTAAAAAGAAGATTTGCAAAGTATTCACAACCACATGAAAGAATGCTCAAAATCACTAATAATAAGGTAAGTGCAAATCAAAACAACCCTGAGGTTTTACCTCACATCCTATAAATTGGTAAAAATGACAGAACATAGCAATAGACAGTGTTGGAGGGGTTGTGGGATGAAAGATCAAGCAGGACTCAAATGAAGAGATATGAGAGGATACCTCCAGCCCAGCCCTTTGTGGAGATGGGAGGTCCACAGGTGTCACACACTGCACTTCAATGTGTTGATCAGCTGTGCTGATTTTTTTTCTTCTTCTAAAAATACTGTTGGGGCAGTGAGGTAGCGCAGTGGATAGAGCACCAGCCCTGGAATCAGGAGGACCTGAATTCAAATCTGGTCTCAGACCAGACACTTGACCCTAGCTGTGTGACCCACTTAACCCCAATTGCCTCGCAAAAAAAAAAAAAAAAAAAAAAAAAAAAAGATTTAAAAAAATACTATTTCTCATGTGGGAAAAGACAAATACTATTTGTCTCTGGGAAGGGGAGGGGAAGGGATATTTGGAATAACTATGATGATGTAAGAAACAGAAAATTTCAATAAAAACTTATTTTTTAAAAAAAGAGGTACTAAACAAATACTTAACTTGCCTAGGTAAATCTAGCCATAGGTAGTGAAGTCCATACACACTCATCCTGCCAGAGCAGGATTGTACCCTGTCATGTATAGAATCTGAAAATGCCCCATCAGTCATTAGTTTCTCATGATGGACTAATGAGAAATTTTACTATCCCCACATCTTTAATAGGTTTTCCTGTTCCAGTCAGCTTCTGGATACTTCTTTATCCATTTCATTATTTCTGTATTCATGAGTGGCATTAACATTGCAGCTGGCGCCTAAGCAATCTTTTTCTTATTCTCATTGTCTTCATTTTAGATGGAAATTTTATACCATTTTCTGCTGACCCCTTAGATTGGTTAAGGGTATTTGCATATTTAAATACATTTAGTGATTTCCACTAACTTTGTGGAGAAGCGAGAAGAATAAAGAACAACACTGAGACAGGCCATTATTCTTTCCTGCAGAGTTTTGTGTGTGTGTGTGTGTGTGTTTTCAGCCTCCATGCATATCATCACCTTTGGTTATAATGTTGAAGGAAGCTTTAAACCTTCTTTGAAAGGAAGATACCCTAAGGGATTTGGAGAACCCCAATGCTCAATAATTATATTAATTAATATAGTCTGGAGAGCTGGTAGACCTTTGGTTTTTGGTTTTTTTTTTTTTTAAAATAACTGGTCAGATTGCCAATTCTTGATTATCTGTGTTTGAGGGAACTGGCATGAATTATCCAAAGCCAAACTTATTTATTGTTTCTTTAAGAACTAATACAGTTATTATATCTTTCTTCAGACTCACAAATAATCCTGTGAGGTAAATAAAGAATGTGTTACAGCATCTCCATTTTACACAGAAGGAAAATTAGAGGTTTACACAATATCACATTTAACCTCCTTTTATGTCCTGCCCCATTAGCTTGTAAGCTCTTTGAAGGCAGTGACTGTCCTCACACAAAACGTCACAGAGCCCAGGGATAGAGTTCTGGCCTTCTGATTCTTAGGAAAGGTGGAAAGAACATTGGCCTTAGAGGTGGCCAATTTCTTGCTAGCGAAATGACCTTGGGTAAGTCATTTACCTCTCTGAGCCTCAGTTTCCCTATTTGTAAAATGAGGTTATAATTCCAGTACTGTGGATCTCACTGGGTTGTTATAACAACAGTACTTTATAAAAGTAAACATGACATGCCGTTTTTTCATTCTATGCTGAGCTCTCTATAATTCTCAAAAGCAGGCCCTTCCATCACGTACACGTTTATCCTGTGCTCTCTGTCAGAAATGTTCCAAGATTTTTCTTACACACTAATTGCACTCTCCCATGTTGACACGTTGGCATGTGGTGAAATTCTCCCTTTTCTCTCCCTTTTAGTTTGAGCGTCAGGACCCCGTCAATGGGCGAATCACTGAGAGGCAGTTTGGCGGCATGTTGCTGGCCTACAGTGGAGTCCAGTCCAAGAAACTAAAAGTGATGCAGAAGCAGCTCAAGAAGCACTTCAAGGATGGGGAAGTGAGTAGTTCTGACCAAAACAGGAGAAGCTGCCGTAGTTATGGCTCCCAGGCTGCATCTGCACAGCCCAGCAAGGTGTCCGCCACTCCCACAGAACCTCTAACGCTTGTGCTTGCCAGCCATCTCCAGTGCCATTTTAGCCTGATCCATGCAGATCCCAGATCGGTTTGAGAATTCCTCCTGTTTGTCCAACAGCTACAGATGACGTCTACCATCTTTTACAGATTTCTTCACCAGTCTTTCTCGGTTCTTTTCTTCCCCAGCTAACCCTGCTTGGTGCTTTTTGTTCTACATCTCCAGCCGATAGCAGTTTGGGAAATGTAGTATTTTTCTATGCTGCTAATAATTATCCCTTGACATTTAATGATTTTATCTATTCTAAATGCTTTCATCTTGAATTATAGAATTTAAAGCCAGAAACAACCTTAGAAAGCATATAGTCCAACTTCATTTTACATATGAGTTAGTTGAGAGGTCAAATGACTTGTCAGTAGACACAGAAAGCAGAGCAAGACTTCAAACCCATGCCCTTTCAAATTGGATTCAAATCCACTGGTCTTTCAGCTATTCCATATCTCTCACTACCTCAGTATAATAGCTTTGAACTAATCTTCCTGTTCAGATTAACCCAACTACTAATATCCTCAGGTGCAGGCAGGTAATCAGCATTTATTAAGTGTTTATCATGTGCCAGATCTGTGCTAACCACTGGGGATACCAGTAAAAACAAAGACAGTCCCTGCCTTCAAAGAGCTTGCATTCTAATGGGGGAGGACATAAAAGGAGGCTAACGTGGGGTGAGGGAGCAACACTGAGGAATGAAATATGGCCAGCCTGAGCCCTTTCCCAACATGGAGGCCCCTAAGGGATCTCCCCAATGGAAAATGGGGGCTAGCACGGCTGAGGTGCCAGGGTTGTCTGTGAATAGAGTGACATTGTCCAAGAGTGATAGGTATGACCTTAAAGAGACCAACCCTCTGATGCAATTTGATGAGACAGATAGAATTCTGTTTTATTGCTTGAGAAAACAAACAAATGTGGTTGAAAGGCTCAGTCACACAGCCAGGTAGTAGCAGACCTGGGCATCTAAAGGCAATGTGGCATAGTGACAACAACAATGGTTCAGAAATCAAAAGACCCTGCTCTGTAAGTTCAGGAATATTGCTTACCCTTGCTGGACCAAAAGCCAAGTGAAATCTCAAAGATCTCTCCTGACACTAATGTTTTCTGATTTTTTAATTCCCAATTCAGGCCCTTTGTTCCTTCCTTTGGACAGGATTAGACTCTTGGGAAATATACAGGAAGCTGACCTGAAATAAAAAATTGGCTACATCATAGTAATATGCTGTTGGTAGAACTGTTATTTGATCCAGACGGTCTAAAAAGTAATTTGGAAACACTTTTTTTAAAAGAGTAATTAAAATGCCCATATCCTTTTGTTAGAAAAATCTGAAACAAAAACCTACTACAGTGAGTGAGTGAAGGAAAAGCCTTTATTACACTTCTCGAGAGAAAAGCCGACACAACGCACTTTAGTAGCACGTGGGTGCTGGTTCAGTGGTAGAATCAACTTTTAAACCATTAGTAAGATCCGTACTCCACCCATCAGGGCTATGGTTGGTCCATTTCATCTGAGTTACACCCTTCCTGGACAGCCCATCGCATGTTCATCCATGGTTCTTCTTTGTCATGTTAGATCATGCATCCCATGATCAAAAATGGCGGCTCTCTCCACCCTTGGGGTGTGTCAGTTAATATTCAATAAGCTTATTAAGCAAGAGCAGTGGAGAAAAGCCTTTGCCCTGTGGAGGTCCTGTTCTTGAATCCAATGGGTTACAACCGGTTTAGCCTCTAGGGCTCTTTCTTAAGGATTTAGTTGTTTACAGAAAGTTTGGAGCACTTTCTGATTGGTTGAGAGACTATCCACAAGATCTTGGAATTTCTTATCTTGCTGTGGAAGCCTAACCCCCTAAAGTCTTTCTTACACTTTGACCCAGAGATCCCACTGCTAGGCATATACCCTCAGGAGGTCACCTGGGTGAAACCGTTTGCAGGGTGAATTATGTGAGCATACAATAAAGAGAAATGTCTCTTTTATCATTTTAGTAAGATGCTTGTTATTGTAACGAACAAGTAGCAACAATATAGATGTACCTTTATTGGAGGAACAGCTAAACAAACACATGGTGGGCAATGGATAGAATATTGCTATTCTGTTTAAAAACTAAAAAAAAAAAAGAATATAAAGAATTCAGAGGAGCTTAGAAAGACATTCAGCCAGTCAGTTAACAAGCATTTATTAAGAACTTACTGCCAGATACTGTGCTAAGTGTTGAGAATACAAATACAAGCAAAAAGAAGGACCTTACCCTCAAGTAGCTTACATTCTAACGGGGGAAGACAAACACATAAAAGAAAGCTAGGAGTGGGGCTTGCAGGGAGGAAGGGACCCAGCAGGAGTGGGGGCGGCAGGGAGGGAAGCATGAAGAAATCTGGAGTGAAGCCTGGGGAGAACTGAAGAAGTAACTGACTTGGGTACCCTCCTTAAGTGGAGGCTCTGGGAAGAACCCTGCAGTCAAAAGGAGAAGCCTCAGGAGCAGAGAAAACTTCCGAGCTGTGAATTCCATGCTGAGCTGTGAATTCCATGCCGAACTGTGAATTCCATGGTGGAAGTGATCTTCCAGGATGAAGAGGTTTCTGGGGCATGATGGAGAACTCCAGGGTTTAGCCCAGTGAGAAATGAATTCCTGCAATGTGAAAAACCAGAACTGTATACATAATGACTACAACAATGGAAAAATGAAGAAAAACAACTCTTTAAAATGAAATTAAACAGTTACTATGACCGAATTTGACCCCAGAGAAGAATGGAGAAAATATACCTCCCTCCCTTAATTTCAGAGGAGGGAGACTATGGGTATGGAATATTGCAAATACTGTCAGACATAATTAGGTGATAGTGTTACTTAGTTTTGGTGAACTGATTTTTTTTCCTTTTTTTAAAATCTTGATTACAAGGGAAGGCTCAGTGGAGTGGCGTGTATTTATAAACAAATGGCACATAAAAACAAAACATATCATAAATAAGATTAGAACATGTTAATTGGTCACACGAGTGTAATCAAGAGTTCACTGTAAAAAGTTGGATATCACATGCTCAGAACTGCCTCATCTGGTCATTAGTATGTAATATTTACATATATATGAATTTTGTCTCTGATTGGCAAAAAATATCATCAGATTAACCAACCTATTTCATTCTTGGTTTCAATGCTGGGTGTCTGTGCTTTAAAACATACTTCTTATGCCAAGCTGTGAAGTGGCAGATGTTGGAATAGTCTTGAGAAATATCAGCTGCCCCAACAGTATTGCCACCTCTTTGCCCAGGCAGATGCCTTCTTGAATGGATGCAGCGATTACTGCAAAAAACAAGAAGAGAAGTTACAGGAGAATTCCCTCTTTCCCAGTGTGCCCAGGACATATTAGAAATCATTTGGAAATAAGGTTTGTAACTTCAAATGATTGCTCAGCAGGGAACATTCTTTTCTTTTAGCCACATTTAACAGAGAATTTTACCTTGAATTAATTGTTCATGATGAGCTAATTTATCATTTTGTTATGAAGTTACAGTAAAAAACAATAAATAAGATGTTAGCATCCTCTGTCTTGGAAGAAGGAAGCACTTCAGCCTTGACTAAAAACTAATTTAAGGCCTGAAGACTTGAAATAAAGCATAGAAAGCAAAATATGTATTTTATCATGTGGTGAAGATAGTTCTAAATTTGTTCCTGGACCAGAATTTCGAGATTGATTGTTCATATATTTTGATTAAATAGTTCGTAAACCTAGCAATTCAGTAAAAAGTTTTTCCTTCTAACATGAGCAGTTTGTCCTTTCTTGGCGTTGCCCTGAGGCCATAATTCCATCAAGTGGCCTTTCATTGTAGCTACACCCAATCTCCCAATTCCGTTATCCTTGACCTAGCCTAGCCCTCCATTGTCTTACCTCCCTATGGCTCTAGGCCACTTCCCGCCCTTAATCCTATCTAGGCTCCATTCTCCTTTGACCACAGTTAAGGTTCCTGGAATTCTATTACCTCATAGACTACTTGGCCACGCCTAGATCCCTCCCATTGTCTTTCTGTATCTTGTCTCCCTTAAAATGCTCAGATTTTTACAATCTAGCCAATAGCTCCCAGATGCTCAGATTCCTTAAGAGTCTGGCTAATATGGCAGATCTTTAATAAACCTTGTTTTTGGCTGAAAAAAAAAGAGAAACATTTCTTATTACATGAGAAGACCACCACCTGCTTTCTAAGTGTTTTTTTGTATTTCCATTTTAGGGTATCCAATATGTTGATAAGAAAGCATAAATTTCTTTTTTTTTTTTTTTTACATTAATCTGTTTCTGGGTGGTGTGTGTCTAGCAGACAGCAGCATGATTAACAAAAAGAAGGCCCTCCTGGGAATGATAAGCATTTATTCAGAACCCAGTAATTGTTCTGTGCTTTGCATTTTCTTTTTAACTGCTGAAGGAAACTGAATTCATTCATTCAGGAAACATTTATTAAGAGCTTTTTCATGCTTGTCACTGTGCTAAGCTCTGGGGATACCAAAAGAGACAAAAGACAGTCCCTGCCCTCAGAGAGTTTACAACCTAATCTATACAAAGTAAGCAATATAGAGGATATGTAGGAAATAATTAAAAGAGGGAAAGTGGTAGAATAAGAGGGGTTAGGGAAGGCTTCCTGCAGAAGATAGGGTTTTTGTTGGAACTTAAGGAAGCCTCTGAGGTCAGAAGAGAGAGAGAGAAAGCATTCCAGGCATGGGAGACAGCCAGAGAAATTGCCTGGAGCTGAGAGATATAGTATCTTGCCTTGTTTGTGGACCAGCCGTTCCAGTGGATCAAAGAGTACCTAGAGAGGAGTAAGGTGTAAGAAAACTGGAAAGGTAGAAGAGGGCTAGGTTATGAAGGGCTTTGAATGCCAAACAGGGCGTTTT